CATGAATGTGCTTTGTAAATTATGAAAAATAAGGGAAACATAAGGGGTTGTTATATTATATCAATGAAAAGTAAACCGATGGCAAGAATATATTTATTTCACATGATTCTGTTTGAGGGGAAATTTCCCAGATGTTGTGTCTAAAGTTCACGTGAAAAAAACCTGGGCTGAATTAAGAGAGGAAGAAGTAAGAGGAACAATGAGAGAGGGTTGGATCGTATGCCTGGTCAACCTACGTCGAGAATATCGTATTCAGTTAGGGAACTCCACTGATAACTGGAGTGTACTTAGAGGAGGGTGACGGTCCCGATGGCCCCTGAATAACTCACATTACCGTAGGGCTCCCTCCCCCTGTGAAACAGAAGCAGGGAAGAGCTCGGACGCCCATGATTCGGCTGCTTTGTACAAGACACAATAGGATCTTACAGCCTTTAATCCTAGTTCTCTCTTCCCCTTGCTGGTTAGATTGAGTGGCCTCCTCACGGGGTATTCCAGTGTCTCAGATCAGCAACAACAAAGCCCTGATGATATATGTGAGTGACACCGTTTTGAGCCCTCAGTATTCAAGGCACTGGAAAAGAGAGCACCTGGGGTGTGGGGTGTGAGGTGCCAACCCAAAGCCAGAGTGTGAGTGAGTATGAGAGCATGTATGACCCTGAGGTTCCTTCAGACTTAGAGCTTCTGTGTTTCTATGAATCGTAGGTTGCCATTCGGAAATGCCCTATTAGTAGTGATATTTTCTTTAAATGCTAAAGTAGCAACTAGAAGGTTCATTGAAAACATCATTGGCGTGGACTGTTAGGTCAGGAGGATAGGAATCTAGACTCTTCTGTTGGTCTCCAGCTCATGTGTTTGTTTCCATTTGGACAGGGCCAGGTCTGTGCTGGAACCAGTTCTTGAAAGCTAATTGTTAGATTATTTGTATGAGCATACTAGGAATTGCCTTGGAAATTGGCAAAGACAATAAACCAGGACTTGCTTTGTGATTGTTGTGGTGATTGTCTAGACTTAAGAAAGTACTGGAGAAAATGTTAATAATGCAAATTAAACTTAAAAGTATATTGTGGATACTTTTTTCCCCAGAGAGTCAGTTGTTTAACATTTATGAGCACACTCTGGCAGGGCTTTATTATCACTCAGGCATTTATGGTCTTTGCTCAGTTTGGAGCATCTGCACACTATTTGGAGCTTCAGTTGAACATCCCTCCCTCACTATTTCTAGGACCTCGGGAGTATAGAATTCCTAGCTGTAGCTCTGGATCTATAACTCAATTTTTTTTGGTCTATTGAATAGGGAGATGTCAAGGGCTATGCTTCTATGGAGGCCTGCTGCACAATCAAGATACTACAGAGCTGGAATTTTAAATGGATTCATAGTATCAGTCTCAAGCTCACAACCTCCTATTCTGACAGCTTTATTTAGGAAACATACTGCTGAGCTTATGTCAGGTAGTACTCCTGGACGCCTGAGATTGCTTTCATGTGGTGCAGTAGAATGCATATTGGATGTGGAGTATAGGTACCTAGGTCTGAATATATGGCTCTGCTACTGACTACTGTTATGACTTTGGGCAAGGCATGTTGCCTTTTGGGGCCTCATCTGTAGAATGAGGAGATAGGACTAGGTGATCTCAAAAGTCCTTTCTGCTTCAGAGGAATGAAAAGGGTAGCAATTCAGGGAGAGATAGATGGACTTTATATTTTGAAAATGAATTCATTCATTCCATCAATAAGTATTTATTAAGTCCTATACTAAGTGCTGGGGATAGAAATTTAGAAATAAAAGACACACCCTGCCCTCAGGGAGCTTATAATCAAATTGGGGGAGACAATACATAAAAGAAAGTTGGAAAGTGGTGGAGAAAGGGAAGTGGGAGCATGATAGAGAAGTCCCAAAGTAGTGCAGTCAGGTAAGAAATGAGATCTGAGCTAATTCCTTCTTTAAATGGAAAGTTTGAAGTTTATAGCTCCAACCTTCAATCAGAGGGGTATTGATAAGATGGAGTACCAATGGTGATGCAATCTTGCAGGGTGATGAAGTTTTCCCAATAATGAGCTTCCTGGGGCATGGTAGAAAAGTCCCAAAGCCTCAAACAGCCAGGTAAGGACTAGAAAGTCTTGTGGGGTTTCTTCCTCTCCTAACTGGAAGCTTCCATTCTTAATGAGGTTTAGCCATTTGAAGGGAAAACTTGTTGTTGGTTAGGAGGGAATTCAACATTTATGGCCTCAGTCCCAGTGGGGTTAGGAGTAAATTAGGCCTTTTATTTGGGCAAGGTTTTAGGGGACCACGGATATACATGTTTGGGCAGGTATGCAGGCATACTTTGGGGTAGCATTTCCATTGGCTCTCACCCTGAAGGAAAGGAGAAGGACCCATGGGAATGTTCTCCCTGGATGTGCATGTGCAGGCTAATGTAGGGGAATAGGCCACAAGTCAGTTCTCTCTTAATTGAAAGCACGTTTCTGAATCTTACAGAACATGTTGTTAAATGAACTGTGGTTCTTGGCATTAATTGCCTATAAAAATTGAGCACATAAACTGCCCACTGGGAAACTCCTATTTACATGGAAATGTGAGGCAAGACTCGACAATATCTGGTTTTGAGCAAAACTGGAACAAGTCAAGTTCATACTTTCAAGTCAAGTTCAGCATTCATAATGTTCACCATAGACTTCTCTAAGCCATTGCTGCAGTAATACAAATGTTAATATGTAATACGTATAAATTTGCATTGGAATTGCCAAGGAGGTATGTGATACTTTCCCAGAATGCATCATCACTGATGTAGAACTGGGAGATTGAGAGATTTTGCTTGGAGAATTCTAGGAGAAAGACTGGAAAGGGAGAAGTAAAGAAGGTGATTGTGTGGTGTTCTCCACCTTGGCACCATGTAAGGTGATGCCAAATGCTCAGACATAGCTTTTCCCTTCAGATAGATGGTAACAAACAGCAGAACTGCAGGGGCTGAGGCCAATGAAGGTATTTATTGCGTTGATTAAAGACAATGGTTGGTGAGATAATCCAAGCACCCCTCAGAGACATTACCCTCCTCCTCTTCATCTGAGGTGAGGAAAGATGCTGTGCTTTTAAAAGAGCAACTCATTTGAGGCTTATCTCTCCATTCTTCCCACAAGAGAGAAGGAATCCAAGCAGAAAAAGTAATTTTCTGCTTCTGCAGTCAAAAGCACTTGGCACTGGCCACTGTTATAGCCAACAAACTGAGCCCATTTGCCTTTTTGCTTTCCCTCTTGTTAATGAGTCATCTGTTCCCTTTTATTTAAAAGAAATCAATGGCCACAAACCCTTGTTTCTTCATCAACGCTAATACCATGAATAGAGATTGTGGAGTCTGGTCAATCTGGGAAAAGAGGGAGATGGATCCAGCCTCTTCTGAGAGGCCTGCATGTGAGGAGGTGGCAAAGTAATGATTTCTCCTGCAAGAGATAACAAACTTCTGAGAGCAATCTGTGATTATATTCATTAGCCAGCTTAAAGTTGATTTATAGGCAAGAGTGTACACAGAGCTGACAAGAGTCTTATGTCATGGTTATGGTCTGCATCTTTGGAAGGAACTTCCAAATCAATCACATTATGGATCCATTTAAGTATTTAAGTCAACCACAAAAGTTCAGGGGCTGAAAGGAATGAACAGAGTTAACCACTATCTGCTTACAGGTATGGAGGTGGTGGTAATGGTAACAGAGTCAAGATAAACGCTTTGTAATTATTACAGGGCCTTACCTGTATCTCTGATAGGTTGCAAACAATGGTTTACACTTCTAGGGTACTTTATAGTTTACAAGTACCTTATTCACAATTATTCTGCAAGATAGTGCAAATATTCATGCCCCCATTTCACAGATGAGGTGTCTGAGACTAAGGGAAGTGATGCACTTGGCTGGTCACACAGTAAGTGAGAGAGAGTAAGTGAGATGAATGCAGTCTTCTACTCCAAGTGTAGTCCTCTTTCCACTACAGGATTTGAGAAAACCAATGACCAAAAGCTGGGCTATGGGTATAATAACTCTGACTTCTGTATTTAATTGAAAATGAGAGCTCAGTGAGCTTATTCCCAAGATGTAGTAGAGTGGCAAGGCAGGATTATAGAGTGGAAGGTGTTTGGATTTGAGTCTGAAGACTTGGGTTCATATCCTAGCATTTAAGTCCCTATGTGACCTTAGGTAAGTTACTTATTGAATCTGGGTCTCAGTTTCTTCATCTGTAAAGTAAGGGTGTCAGTGATGTTTAAGGTTTTTTCCAGCTTGAAATTTATTATCCTATAGTGTTCAGGGTTATCTTAATGGTTCATTGAATCAAAGAGATTGACTCCTACTCCCATTCCCACACTCTTCCAACGAAGTTGTGTCTGGTCAGTGGGTCAGAGAAACAAGGTGACTTTCCCAGCTGGGAAGAAAAAGGGGAAGGAGAAGAACTGAGACTCTTCTACACACAACCAACCCATAACTTTCCACACCCCTTAGTAAGGCAAAAGCAGTGGGGATTGCCTTTCCCTTCACCTGTAAAGTATCATTCCTTCAACTGTACTTGACATGTTTTAACATCTCCTCCCCTCCTTTCCCCCTTCAGGGCTATTCCTGATAACAGTAATTCTCATTTCGATAGCTCTTTAAGTTTTACCAAGTGATCTCACTACTCGCACAGGGGCAAAACTCATCTACATTTCACCAGTTAATGGTCAGCCCTTTCCAATGAACTTCCCTGAACTCAGCTAGGCTAGGCTCCTCATGACAGACACAGTCTGCCACCCGGCCTGTACCGGAAGACTTTCTAGCTTCAGGGGATCTGCTGAATTTAGATTCCACTGAAAGAGCCTTTGAGAATCCAGGGTCACCTCTGCATCAGGAGGAGGGAGGCATCAAAGGAGGACTTTGATGGAGGGTTGTGTAAACAGTCAACACAACAAGGCAACAAGAAGGCCAGGAAAACTGAAGCTAGTCACTTTCAACAATGAATCCATGAAGAACGAGTCCAGGAACTCTATGGGAAAGAGTCTTCAGATCTTTATTGGAATCTAATCTTCATAGAATGTAAAGGACATAGAACATGTGGAGAAACCATTGTAAACAACTGGCCAAGAGCTGAAGAAATAACTTTCTTCTGCCATAAAATGCATGATGTCCAAGTTAAACCTGTTCTAAGGTCTGGTTTCCTAAGCTACTGTTTTTAGAATGAGAGTAGGCAGCAAGTTCAGAAAATACACTGTACAAGGGTTCTTGAAGCTATTTACTGTCACAACCCCTTAGAGATAATTTTTTTAAAAGTTATTATTTCTTCTCCAAAGACCAGTTCTCCCCAATGGTGAGCACTAGACTGGGACATCCAGAACTAGAAATCCCAGTCACAGACCACGAATGCTCATTTCTTTGTCAGAAATATAACATTAAATTGGAGCATCAGAATGAGCCAAGAGAACTTAGCTGCTGTCTGCTAGTGGCTGTTGGTGCACAGAGGCTCTTTTGCCATTAGACTTAGCGGTCAGCTGCAGCCTTGAATTAGAGAGAAGCAATGGATGCAGAATGTAGTGACCATACCATCTGTTTCTGGTGACGAGCTACGTGATTAGGCTGTTAATAGTGAACATAATCACTTTTGTCAGTGTGCCAGGCATACAGGAGACTGGAGATTGTCTTTTCTGTGGCTACCTGTCCTCATATCCTTTTAGTCAGATGTCACTCTAGATGCTATAGAAATATGAGAAAGAGTGAGGGGTCTAGAAGAGTGAGCCGCCACCACCATTAAGTGCTTCTCCAGTTTGTCCCCGGTAAGAACACTGCAAACAGTGGGCAAATCATACCAGACAAATAACATGCTCTTTATAATAGACTTACTTTAAAGTGTAATTGATACTTTGGATTTTCTCAATATGTGGTTTGTGAACCACTAAGAGTCCGTGGGCTAGTCTCCTGTGGTACTGACATTTTTATATTATGGCACTGTCTGTGATCTTGTTCCAGAGTAAATAAATGTAGTACTTATTAGCGTCTCTTTAAAAGCACTGTGGTTTCTTCCCAATCATTCTCACAAACATCCTTCTCCAGTGGCAAATGGGATTGGTCCAGGGCAGATGGAGCAAAGTCTCTCTAAAAGGGCTCCCAAGCCATTATTTTGGAGTTAGGTGTATATTTGATATTACAATAGACCTATGGTTTCATTGAATCTCCTTCTGAGGTAGACTGCAGTACCTCGAGACCATGCTGGCAGCCTTCAAAGGTTTCTGTGACCAAAAGGAGTTATCTTCTGGTGGCCAGCCTTCTGGCAATGAGACTCTTTAGACTAAGCCTGGCTGGTCCTTGGATGTGAACACAACCTATTACTGAGTCAATTCTTGAATTCTTTTTATTTTGGTAAAACCTGACAGATCTTGGACTCTGCTGGCCTAGCCTTTGAGGACCCAGAATCACCTCCATAGTAGGAAGGCATCCTGAAGGACATTAGAGTGGAGAGGATGGAATATGTTAAGGATGGAATGAATATTGTCAGATCATAAAGCACATTGCCTATGACATGCCAACACTCACTACTATTTGGTAGTTTTTTGGGTTTTTGTTTTTTTACGGGAGGGATAGGTTTGTGAAAGCAGGAAGAGGGTCTGGGATAACTTGGTCTCTGTGGCTGGCTTGCTTATCTTTCCTTGCCAGGTTGTGAGCTTGCTTATTTCACTACAAAGCAAGCCAGAATCACCAGGTAGACCATAACGGATTGGTCTAAAGACAGCTTAAGGCCAGATCCTGTCTCTGTCCCAAATTCACAGTGCTTGAGGGCACATAATTCCATTATTAATTGCTCCATCACCCTCGAGTGAATATCACTTGCGTTTTTTTCTTCCAGAGGTTCCAGCTTGTTGGCTGTGTGGGTGGCATTCACACAGTTGCTGATGAAGACATCCTTCGTGACATTGGACTCAGTGCACCCAACATAATGGATTTCGTCAGGGAACAGTTGGTAATGGGCCTCATAGTAGCTATTGCCCTCCTCCCCAAAGTCAATGGCAAGCTTTCTTCCTTGCCTGATGAAAGCCCCCTGGAGTCTCTCTGGGGGCTGGACTGTGGTTGGGTTGGCCCGATTGGTTTGCAGGCTTTTTCTGTTTGACTTGTTCCTCTGTCTTGTACCTTTGGCCTTGACCAAGGAGAGATCACTAATGAGTAAGGCAAAGAAAATGGCTGTCCACCAACTCCCCAGATATCTCCTCATTGTATAAAAACCTGAAAGTACAAAAAAGTGATAGTTAATTTTCCTTAATCTTGTAAACTATGAGATATTCCCTCCCAGCAGTGGAAAGATTAGTGATTTCAGAACATAGCATAGGGCCCTGGATGTAGGCACTTAATAAATATTTTTGAGTTATTGAAATTGATTGTACTATAACAAATGTGATTTAATGGAAAGTTTCCAAAACTTGGAGTCAAAAGACTTAGGTGGGGCCGCTGGGTGGCACAGTGGATAAAGAGCCATACCTGGAGTCTGGAAGACCTGAGTTCCAGTCCAGTCTCAAATGCTTACTAGTTGTGTGACCCTGGGCAAATCACTCAATCTGGATTGCCTCAGGGAAAAAAAAAAAAGACTTAGATTCAAGTACCGACTGTAGCCAATTCTGGTCTCTCCCCTTAACTACTTAAATTCCTGTACTGTATTGAACTTATTTGTGCAAATAATAATAGCGATCATTTATATAATGATTGCTATGTACCAGGCACTGTGCTAAGTGCTTTATAATTATTATCTCCTTTGATCCTCACAACAATCTTTTGACCTAGGTGCTATTATTATGTCCATTCTACAGATGAGGAAACTAAGGCCAACAGAAGAGAAGTGACTTGTCCAGGTGACTCACGTAGTTAGTAAACGTCAGAGGCTGGATTTGAACTCAGGTCTTCCTGACTCGAGGCCCAGTGTTCATCCACTGGGCTACCCAGCTATCCCTAGTATGATATAAACTCCTTAAGGGCAGCTTCTTTTTCACTTTTGACTTTGTGTCCCTAGAGTTGTACACAGGGCCTTGCACATAGTAGGTGCTTAATAAACATTTGTTGACTAGAAATGAATGTGATCATGGGCAAATCACTTCAAACTAGAGCATCAACTTCCTCATTTGTAAAATGGGGAGAAGAACACCTGCCTTGCCTGGTAGTTGTGAGAAGAGAGCTTTGTAGACTTAAACTGATCTCAAAATGTGAACGATCATATCTATGCTGGCTAGTGTGGATGGAGTGAGAAATGAGTTAGGTAGAGGCTCTGCTGAAGCTTGGCTGCTGTTTTCCTCTTTCTAAAGGCATTTTCCATAGCCTGAGTGGAGGACAAAGGTATGAAAATGCAATTCTGAAACATTATGTAACTATAGAATGGTAGCTAGGGTTGTTATCCTCAAGGAGGACCCCATGACATCAGGGAGTTGATGCCGGTGAATTGGATTTAAGTGAGGGAGGACTGTGCAAAGTCACCAGCCTCACTTTCTCCTCCAGAGCCATCTGGGTCCAGCGGTCAGATATAGATCAGGACAACTGGAGTTGCCTTGATGCAGCAGAGACCTTGGCCTTTTTAAGATAAGGTCTTTCCCAGATCTCAGTTTGTCTGAGGCAACACCCATTCAGTGATTAAGTCTTGGTAAGAAAAGAGGCAAAAAATGGCCTCTTTTACCTAGTCAAAAAAAATCAATCTAGAAGGGAAGACCCTTAGGGTTTCTGGCAAAAACAGAAATAATTGCTATTTACATTCACTCTGAGCCACCAGAACCAAACTCTAAAACAGGTAGGCTTGGGCTGGGACCTATTGTTGGCCCATCAGTGAGAGTTAGAGTGATTTAGGTTTAAGGCAAAGTCCTTAGAAAAAGAAATCTAGCCCATAAACCCCAAGATATCTTTCAAGGTTAGGTTTCTTCACTCAAAAGTTATATTCCTTTGAGCAGAGCACTTGCAGGTAAGTGTATGATACCCTATGTGGACAGAGGGAGGGAAGAAAGGAAGGAGGGAAAGAAGGGAGGGAGTGAAGGAAGGAAGGAAGGAGTTGCATTGCTCAACTTGAACTAGACAATTGGGTCCACAGTGGAACAGCTACTACTACTCATAGATTGTTGTATTTAATCCTGGAGACAATAGGAAGCCACTAGAGTTTATTGAATCTGTGAGTGACTGGGGTTGGGAGTTGACGTGGTTGGACCTGTACATTAGGAAAATCACTTAAGCGGCAGAATGGAGGATGGATTGAAGTGAGGAGAGACTTGAGGCAGGCAGACCCACCAACCGGTTATTACAATAGTCCAGGTATGAGGTAGTGAAGGCCTGCACTGGAGTGGTGCCAGTGTCAGAGGAGAGAAGGGGGCTTATTGGAGAGATGTTGCAAAGGTGAAATCAACAGGCTTGGTAACACCTTGGATATGGGGAGTGAGAGATGGTGAAGATTTCAGGATGACTCCTAGGTTGTGAGCCCCAGGGACTAGAAGGGTTGTTTTGCCCTCTGCAGTAATATCAATAATTCCCAGGTTATTAGGACCTGCCAGAGTGTGTCCTCAACTGGCATAGTCCTCAAGAGCAAAAGGGTCATCTCTGCATCATTGTTGGGCATTGAAAGAGGACTTTAGGGAAGGTAATACATACCCCAGGTAGGTTATTCCATAGGGTGGCCCACTTTTATTTTTTGAATAAATAGGGACTAATAAATACCAACATAAACTATCTACTGGAATCACTTTGCAGCCTAAGTTCTATGGCAAAAATATGCAGCTGGTTCTCAAGATAAAAAATAAAATAAGTATATGTGAACATTGATAAGGAAACACCACTTAGAATCACAGAATCTCAGAGCTGAAAGGGACCTTAGAGATCATGTAGTCTAAGCTATATCTGAACAGGAAACTTGTCTACAATACTGTAGGGTAATACAGTGGAAAGAGGACTGACCCTGGAGTCAGAGAATGTGGGGTTCAAATCCTGCCTCTGACATGTACCTTGACATGTATGACCTTGGGCAAGTCACTTAACCTCCCTAGGCCTCAATTTCCTCATATGTAAAATGAGAGGTTTGAACTAGATGACCTTTGAGGTCTTTTCCTGCTCTAGCTGTATGCTACCATGATCTCCAGCAAGGGGTCATCCAGATTCTGTGTAAAAACTTCCATTAGAAATTGAAGACTTTTTTCCCACCTCCTCACTAATATGTCTACCCCCTCATTGATTATTAACCAATTAGAGGTGATTTCCACCCTCAGAGATACCCCCTTTTCCAAAGGCTTTTAAGCATTCAATGTTCTGGGTAGGGTGTGGTCTTCAGTTTCTGAGAGAACTGCTGACCTCAATTTATTAATTATTTGCTAGCCATAATTAATAAATTGATTATTAATTACCCAGCAAAAAAAGACTTCCATTAGTGAGGGAACTAACTGTCTCTCACTATGGTCCCTTCCACTTTCAGATAGAAATTACTTACTAGAAAATAGAATTTAAGCTGCCTGAGGGCAAGGACTGTTTCATTTTTGTCTTGTGTTCCTAACATCTAGCCTTATACGTAGTACATATTGAGTAATTATTTAATTTAATTGAGCTGAAATCTGGCTCTGCAATTTCTACCCATTACTTCTCTCTTCCACATAATAATCTTTGAATATTTGTACACAACTCTTATGATCTCTCCTGCCTCCTAAGTCTTCTCTTTGCCATGATATTATCCTCATTTGTTTCAACTGATTTCCTTATGGCATGAACTACATTCTTTCTACCATCTTGTTCTCATTCCTCTTGTCGAGTCCCAACTTGTCAATGTCCTTCTTAAAATGGATACCACTGATATGTGTGGGCAAGGAGAAGTTAAGCCCTTCCTGAGAATAGGTACAGAGCATTAGAATTCAATTGACACCTCACAAATGGGCCATTTCCCCCCATTAAGTGTAGCCGTCTCTATTTTTAGCCAGCTATTGCCACCATTAAAGAATATGTTGTTGTTCCGTTGTTTCAGTCCATTTGCGGTTTTCTTAGCAAAGATACTGCAGTGGTTTGCCATTTTCTTCTCCAGCTCATTTTATAGATGAAGAAACTGAGGTAAACAGGGTTAAGTGACTTGCCAAGGGTCATGCAGCTAATAAGTGTCTAAGGCCAGATTTGAACTCATGAACGTGTCATCCTAATTCCAAGCTCAGTGCTCTATCCACAGAGTCACCTCGCTGCCCTTCATTTAAGGATATGCAAGATTTTCATGCTGCTTATTAGAAACCAGGACCACGATCCATTCAACTTAAGGTTATAGCAGAGTCATGTTTCTTATAAAATGCTGAGGTCATGGAGGGTGTAAGTCCACTACTGCATTTGGTGATTCTTCCTTTTGTGGCATGCCTGTGTGTTTCTTCCTGGGTCAGTATTTTGTATTCTGGTGAAAGGGAAACCTGGTTGATATCTGGCAAACCACATCATAGAACTCCAAAGTTGGGCTTGACTCATCTGTGTGTGTTGTGTGGGACTGGAGACATCTAGTCAGTGTACCCAGAGTTAGTGATTGCTAGTGAGGATTGACCTCAAATAAGTTAGTAGACATTTTAGAAAGTGTTTTCTTTCTAAGTCCTTCCCTGTGTTTACTAATTGAGGGAGAAGCTAGTGTTTATTAAGAGTGTTCAGCCTTCCCCCCTTGGTTTTGCCTGGATTCATTATATTCATTTCCATTCCAATCCATTTGACTCATGAGAATACACGTAATGTCAATTCTCTTGAAGTATTTACCAAGGGGCTTCAAACCTCTAATCAAGGTGAAAATTGACTGGATGTCTATAGACCAAGACATGAAAATTACTTTCATTTACCTCAGAAAAGATGAAATAGGCAGTCACACCCCACATAATGATTCTGCACCCACTCAGTAGGATAAATATTAATAATGAGATAATTGACCCATTATACAACCATTTGCATAAAAAACTTTCAAGAGAATTTAAAAGTAAGCCTTTTTCAAGTACAAAGAGTTGGGAAAAAAAAGAAAAACAGCCAAGAGATCATTTTCCCCCCAATAACTGAAAACACAAATACAGATCCGCTTCCCAGAGGATGATTGCGCTTTTCCAGAAGAGAACAAAAGGCACTCACTGAAACTGAAGCACTCCATGGTTTTCTCCAAAGGGAGAGAATCCATTTGAAACAAACAATCAGTCTCTGGAGCATATAGGATGTATTGATAGAACCTCAGAGGTTGTAGGAACCTCAGCAACCCTCTAGTTCAACCCATCCCTGCACAGGAATCCTTTCTCTGAGATCCCTGATGGGAGATCATCTAACCTCTCCTTAAAGATCTCCAGACAAAGGGGACTCTTCACCTTCCAAGGCAATCGAGAGTGCTTTGGGACAAGTGAGGAAATTTTTCTACGTATAGAACTAAAATCAGCAAACTTCTACCTTGTTGCTTGCCCTTCCCTTTAGGACCAAGCGGAACAAATTGATTTATTTTTCCATATCACAGACCTAGAAATGGTTGATGATGGCTAGCCCGTCTCTCCAGAACCTTCTTCTCTAGACTAAACATCCCTACTTCTTCAAAGAATTTTTGAATAACGTAGTTTTATGTCACCTCAAATTTCTCCTCAAACTGCTTTACATATATTTCAATTTGTTAATACCTTTACCAAAACATTTCCAGAGCTACATATAATCTTCTGGCTATAATTTGACCAGAACAGAAAACAGTGCAACTATGATCTTCATTCTGGATACCATCCCCCTGTCTGGTAACAGAGCCTGAGATTGCCTTAGCCTTTTGGGATACCATGTAGTCCTATTGCCAATCTCTAGGTTTGTTACCACTTACCTTTTATTTGTTGTTGTAACAGGTTGCCTTGGGAGCCAGAAGAAGTAAAATTCTCCCCACAGAACTGGTTCATTATCAGTTGCAACTCAACAACTATATAGCAGGAGAAGGAGGTGGCACTGATGCTCATCTCCAAATATGGTATGCTATTATTCACTTCCTGGTAGTACCAATCTGGAAGTCTCTAGGTGGCTCCCTATTTGTCCCGACTCCAGATGGACATTGTCATTACTCCCTCTTTGAAGACTATGAGATTTGTAAGAACCGTAGAATGTGTCAAGAGACAAATGCAACTCACATTTCAATCTCCTTCATGGAAGTAAGAATAAGAATAGTTAAAATACTTTTCCCATTAATTCTTCAAGCAGATTATTGTTTTTAAATTGCTGTTGAATGACCAGGTTATGTTAGGACTTAGGGCCACTTATAAAGGGTTATTGGATATTTACCAGGCAGTCTAAGTGGTCAACAATTCTTTAACCACTTTAGGAGGGTCAGGAGAGCCTACTGTCCCTGGAAACTTCCCAGTGGTCTGGTTTGGGGCACAGCAGGCATCTTGATACATGTGGCAGACAAAGCACTAACATTGCCATCAGAAGACTTGGGTTTGAATCCCAGACCAGCGGCAATTCACTTAACCTTGTTTGCCTTAATTTCCTCAACTGTAAAGTGAGCTGAAGAAGGAAATGACAAACCACTCCAGTATCTTTGCCAAGAAAACCCCAAACGGTGTCACCAGGAGTCAAACACAACTGAACAATAACAAACCTACGTGACATGGAACAGATCACTTCTCATCTATGGGTCTTCCTTTATCTATAAAATTATTTTTAAAAATAGCATTTACAAAGCACTTTCAGGACTTGCAAAATGCTTTACAAATGTGATTTCATTTAATTCTAACAACAGCTGTGTTAGATGCTACCATTATTCCCATTTTTCAGATGAGACAGATAGAGGATCAGTGCCTTACTCAGGCACTGTGTCACACAGCTGGTGAGACCTGATCTGAACTACTGAGATAGTCTCTGAGGTCAGATTTGACCTCTCTATCCATTGAACCACCAATCTGCCACTTTGAAGATTTCCAAGATGGCTCCCAACTTTAAATCTGATCCTTCTATGATCTTTGCAGAATGAAAACCCTATAATTACTCCTCCATTCCAGGTCAGTTGCCTATGCTCCACTTTATTCTCTCTTGTGAGCCCCATGGTTTAATTTACCTGTCTGCATGATTGTCTGGTCCGGCTCTTTGACCTGGGCTTCCCTCCTCTTAAGCTAACTATGGGATGTGAATCAATTTCCCACTTTTTCTCTTGTCCTATCTATGAAACAACCACATAACTATTTTCAAGGTTTTCTAAGAGTTCTGATTGCTATGTAACTACAAGGAAACAGGGGCTTAAAATATCTCACCCCATCTCCGACCCTCCAAAAAGAAAAAAGAAATCTTAAACACCTAAAAATTATCATCATTTCCTCTGATTGACGATGATTATCATAGGCTTTTTAAGACTTCTATCCCCAGTGATACTTCTAGACCTTATAAAGCAGCAATCATCAAAACTATTCGGTAAGGGTTAAAAAAA